CTGTGGTATACGAAAACGGTTTTGTCTATCATCGTGCAATTCATAACTTTTAGTCGGCACGGTCTGGAGATGATACGATTCAATTTTCGTGAAAATCGGACAAACGGTCTAGGAGGAGTTCGAAAAAGAAGGTTTTCAAAGAAATAAAGATGGCGAACAGGAAGTTTGTCTGATTATGGAAAACCTGATATCTATGTTTTCGGCATAACCCAAGGAATCTATTAAGATCAGTTTCATTGCAATAGGCAAATTTATTCAAAAGTTATTAGCGTTCTCAGAAATTAATTATAACTTTTGACCAACAGGTGGCGCTGTCTCAAAATCTTTTGAGTACCTTCAGGGCATGCTGCTTATGGCACACACTGAGTTTTGTAATATTACACCAATGCATTTGTTTAGTATAGTTTTATTTCACAAAACTCTATTGAAGTCAATGGGAATTTCACGTTTTGTTCTATTATAGCGCCACCAAGAGGCTCAGTCCCACAATTTTTTTTATGTGTCCTCAGAGTGACCCCATAAATATGTGTGTCAATTTTGGTGCAAATATCTCAATTCACTTCCGAGTTATAAACATTTATATGAAAAAACACGTCAAAAATGACTGACACATGCCTTTGTTTGAATTTTACTACCCCTTACTATCAATATTTTCGCATTTGGGCATTAGCGTATAGTTAACAAGCTATGATTCCGTGTTTTTGGCGGTGGTTTCGTCTCGATCGGAACAGCGGTTTTGAAGATATCGCCAAGTGTTTTTTTCGCGCTAAATCGCTACGCTACACCAACCGTAAGACGAAACCCAGCATGTTTAGTATCGTTGGACTCGGCAACGATTCAGGAACTCAAAAACATGACTCCCGTGAAAATAAGTGTACCACACCCAAAGTTATAAGCGTTTGAATAAAAAAAATTCACCACTAGGTGGCGCTGTTTCGAAACTTCTCAGGCTCCTTCAGGGCATCGTACTGATGACCCATACCGAGTTTCGTAACAATTCGTTCATGCGTTCAAAAAATACAGCATTTTAGCACATAATTCAAAATGGCCGACAGCCAAAATGGCCGATCTGGGAAAATTGGATATCGGTCGACTCGGCATGACGCCCTGAATCTAACGAGACCAAATTTATGATTTTTGGACAAACCGTTCAGAAGTTACGAGCAAAAATAGCCATTTTTCATATCTCCGGACCACTAGGTGGCGCTGCGCCGAAACGCAGCACGTAGCCTCAGGTCATGCTTGTGATAACACGTACCAAGTTTGGTGTGAAAACGAGTAAGCGTTGCGGAGATACAACCTCACGTCTGTTTTCGCAAGCGCTACGTAAATTTTGTTTACGCGTTTATCGAAAACGGTTATTCGAATCATCTTGAATTCCATAACTTTTTGTCAGCACTGCCTGGAGATGATCCGGTGCGATTTTGGTGAAAATCGGACAAACCGTCTAGGACGAGTTCGCAAAAGTAGGTTTTTTTGAAAATTCAAAATGGCGGCCGTTTTTTTATGACGGAAAATGACGTCATAGGGTGCGATCGAATCGGCATGAGCTCAGGAACAAGAGGAAAAAAGAATTTTGTTGATAGGCCTTACGGTTCAAAAGTTATTAGCATAATAAAAGTGAAACTTTGGACAGTTGGTGGCGCTAGAGGGAATGAGTTAGAGACACCAAAATTGGTGTATTTAAAGTTGGGACTGTCCTCTATCAGAATGTCAAACCAAAACAACTTTCCCGCAAACCGGTCTATGGGCTGCCATAGACGCCCAGTCGGAAGAAGAATAATAATAATAATAATAATAAGAACCGGCACAGATACAATAGGTGCCTCCGCACCTTCGGTGCTTGGCCCAATAAATATAGCTGCAGCAGCCATTACCGGGGCCAAGCGCAAGAAGCGGCAACATATGCCAAAATGGCAAGGAGTGGCAGACCAACTGCAGCAAGGAGCAATTAAGGGCATTTTGAGAGAACTTTGGGCAAATGGCTAAAAAAATCACATAAACATTAACTTATAAGATGATTTAATGGGTTATCACTTTCGAACAATAGGTGGCGCAGTTACGAAATAGATGTGATGTGGTCAGAGGGAGGTGACAATGACACATGCAAAGTTTGGTGTCAAAATGTGAAGGCATTGCAGAGATAAAGCCTAAATAGTAATTTTGGCAGCATGCCTAAACTTTGATGCTGTGGTATACGAAAACGGTTTTGTCTATCATCGTGCAATTCATAACTTTTAGTCGGCACGGTCTGGAGATGATGCGATTAAATTTTCGTGAAAATCGGACAAACGGTCTAGGAGGAGTTCGAAAAAGAAGGCTTTTCAAAGAAATAAAGATGGCGGACAGGAAGTTTGGCTGATTATGCAAAACCTGATATCTATGTTTTCGGCATAACCCAAGGAATCTATTAAGATCAGTTTCATTGCAATAGGCAAATTTATTCAAAAGTTATTAGCGTTCTCAGAAATTAATTATAACTTTTGACCAACAGGTGGCGCTGTCTCAAAATCTTTTGAGTACCTTCAGGGCATGCTGCTTATGGCACACACTGAGTTTTGTAATATTACACCAATGCATTTGTTTAGTATAGCATTTTATTTCACAAAACTCTATTGAAGTCAATGGGAATTTCACGTTTTGTTCTATTATAGCGCCACCAAGAGGCTCAGTCCCACAATTTTTTTTATGTGTCCTCAGAGTGACCCCATACATATGTGTGTCAATTTTGGTGAAAATATCTCAATTTGCTTCCGAGTTATAAACATTTATATGAAAAAACACGTAAAAAATGACTGACACATGACTTTGTTTGAATTTTACTACCCCTTACTATCAATATTTTCGCATTTGGGCATTAGCATATAGTTAACAAGCTATGATTCCGTGTTTTCTGACGGTGGTTTCGTCTCGATCGGAACAGCGGTTTTGAAGATATCGCCAAGTGTTTTTTTCGCGCTAAATCGCTACGCTACGCCATCCGTGAGACGAAACCCGACATATTTGGTATCGTTGGACTCGGCAACGATTCAGGACCTCAAAAATATGACTCCCGTGAAAATAAGTGTACCACACCCAAAGTTATAAGCGTTTGAAAAAAAAAATTCACCACTAGGTGGCGCTGTTTCGAAACTTCTCAGGCTCCTTCAGGGCATCGTACTGATGACCCATACCGAGTTTCGTAACAATTCGTTCATGCGTTCAAAAAATACAGCATTTTAGCACATAATTCAAAATGGCCGACAGCCAAAATGGCCGATCTGGGAAAATTGGATATCGGTCGACTCGGCATGACGCCCTGAATCTAACGAGACCAAGTTTTTGATTTTTGGAGAAACCGTTCAGAAGTTACGAGCAAAAATAGCCATTTTTCATATCTCCGGACCACTAGGTGGCGCTGCGCCGAAACGCTGCATGTAGCCTCAGGTCATGCTTGTGATTACATGTACCAAGTTTGGTCTGAATAGGATGAAGCGTTGCGGAGATACAGCCTTACGTCTGTTTTCGCAAGCGTTACGTAAAATTAGTTTGTGCGTTTATCGAAAACCGTTATTCGAATTATCTTGAATTCCATAACTTTTTGTCAGCACTGCCTGGAGATGATCCGGTGCGATTTTGGTGAAAATCGGACAAACCGTCTAGGACGAGTTCGCAAAAGTAGGTTTTTTGGAAAATTCAAAATGGCGGCCATTTTTTATGACGGAAAATGACGTCATAGGGTGCGATCGAATCGGCATGAGCTCAGGAACAGAGAAAAAAGAATTGTTGATAGGCTTACGGTTCAAAAGTTATTAGCATAATAAAAGTGAAACTTTGGACAGATGGTGGCGCTAGAGGGAATGAGTTAGAGACACCAAAATTGGTGTATTTTAATGTTGGGACTGTCCTCTAATCAGAATGTCAAACCAAAACAAC